CAACCGTTGTATAGTAATATGATATAATAACCTTAAAAAACCATCTTATAGCCATTTGTTTGATCAAATTTTGAAATATACATTTTTTTCATTCTAATGATCAATCACAAAAAAAGAAAAATTTGAAAACACAACTTAGAAAGTATTTTTTTTAGCTCAATTAATAGAGGCCGTTCATTTTGGTGAGATGCTTAGATCTAAGCCTTAAAAGGAGTTTTTCATTTCCAATTTTTTTGGATGACTTTATTAGCATTAGATGAACAATGTTAAAAAAGAAAAAAATAATTTTGAGTTCATAAAAACTAAGATCTTGAAATTCATAAAATAAATGGTCTAGATTCGTTTTTGGAAGGGATTCATTTTGACCATATCTAGGGTTCAAAATAAACTTTTTTTTTTTTTAGGATTGATTATTGAGATGAAGAGAGTGTGTGCAAAATTTAGGGTCATACGAATACCACAAACATGGTTTTCTAGAAGTGTCGTTATTATACTATAATACAACCGTTGCATTGGATCATTGCTCTATATATAATGCAACGGTTGTATCATAATATAATGCAACGACACTTTTAGAAAACCATGTTTGTGGTATTTGTATGACCCCAAATTTTGCACATACACTCTCTTCATCTCAATAATCTACTCCGTCTTCCTCCCCCCCCCCCCCCCCGGCCCAAAAAAAAATTCAATTTGAACCCTAGATATGGTCAAAATGGGTCCCCTCCAAAAACGAATCTAGACCATTCATTTTGTGAATTTCAAGATCTTAGCCTTTATAAAATCAAAATCATTTTTTTCTTTTTTAACATTGTTCATATAATGATAATCAATCCATCCAAAAAAATTGGAAAAGGAAAAAAATCTTTCTAAGGCCTAGATCTAAGCATCTCACCAAAATGAACGACCCATGTTAATTGGGCTAAAAAAATACTTTATAGGTTGTGTTTTCAAATTTTTTTTTTTTAATTGTTCATTAAAATAAAAAGAGTGCATATTTCAAAATTTGGATCAAACAAATGGCCATAAGATAGTTTTTTAAAGTTGAATCATATTAATCTACAACAGTTGCATGAAATCATTTGGAGAAAGGTTATATAAAAAGTTGCATCTTCAAAATGTGGAATTATAGATGCACCTTAAAAACCCATCGAAAAAAGATGGTTTTAACGTTGAAAATACCTCTAATTGATCATCTCGACATCGAGATGTATGAATATGAAAAGAAAAAGATTGAGTCCCAAAAATAATGCATCTTGCAATACATTATCTAGACCATCCATTTTCAAGATTTTCATATATTTATAGATCTGCTCAATTTTAACCATTTCTTAAACTTAAAATTTTATAATTAGATATGAAAATAGATTATGAGATAATCTTAAGATTTTTTTTACCAAAATTACATATTATAAAGCATTTAGAGGTGCGCCTCAATTGAATTGTTTAAAGTTGCCACTTTATAAAAACCGCACCCTATATATGTGTGTGAGACAGAGAGGGAGGGGAAGGAACTATGGTTTTGAGGAAACAACACAGGGAATGTTCGTAATGCAAAGAGGGAGTCTCCCTTCGCCTGTATGAAAATGAGATGAGAGAATCATGACTCCACAAAAAACATGAAAGACATGACGACCGGCGTGCTAGGTGTAACGTAGAGAGAGAGAGAGGTGTAGGGAGAGAGACTCATGAAATTAGATAAGTGTACTTACAAAACAGAGAGAAAAATGTTCAGAGAGAGAGAGACAGAGAGGTGTGAAGACAGCAAGATTCAAGATGAAGTTTGTATGAAGTTTCAACTTTAGACAATAAAAAATAAGTCATACCTCCAAACTTCATCATAAGATATGAGAATCTATTTTCATCTCTAACTATAAAATTTGAAGTTTTAGATTTTGAAATTGGACCCTTCAAAAAATATGTTATAAGGTACTATTTTTCAAACGCGAATCATTATTTTTTCTATATCCACATATCCCTATGTTTAAATATGTTATAAGATATACTATTTTTCAAATAAGAATCATTATTTTTTCTATATTCATACATCCCAATGTCTATATCTACATGATGAATTAGATGGTTTTCCAACCCCAAATCGCCTTTCCGGATAAGACTTTTGCAAACCGTACTTCTACAATTTGAAGCGTCAGCAAGCTGAGTCATAGATCTGAGAAATGAAAGGATGAGAGAGGGGGGCAGAGAGTGTCATACGCCATCACTCAAGAAAAGTCAAAATTCAAGAGGAGACCGGCATGCGAAGACTCACTTCGGTGAACGACCCACCAAAATACCTTCCTTAATCTCCAAGCCTCCCCAATTAGTACCATGTGTCCACCTCGGTTATTGTAACTTTAAACAATCCAATTAAGGCGCACTCTAATTTTTATATAAAAAATCTTTAGAATTATCTTAAAATCCATTTTCATACTTAATTATAAAATTTTAAACTCTAAATATAGATAAAATCAAGTAGATCTATAAATACATAAAAATCTTGAAAATGAATGGTCTGGATAACATGTTGCAAGTGATACTATTTATGAGACCCAAAATATTCTTCTTTTTTTTTTCTACATTCATGCATTTCGATATCGAGATGATGATTAATTAAGGGGTTTTTCAAAATTAAAACAATCTTTCCGATTTTTAAGGTGCATATCTAATTCTACATTTTAAGATTGCAACCTTATATAAACTTTTTTCTGACCTATATGTACCCGATTCTATATAGCCAAGCCTATATATGCAGACTTACATATGTGGACCCATTAATAAATCTGTTTTTGAGATGAATTTTTTGACGTAATTTTTAAGGACATGTAATCTCTAACATGGAGATCATTAATATGAAAAAATAAGTAAAATTTAAAAACTAGAAATAATCATTCTAGAAAAAAAACATTTGATATGTTAGTTTCTATTGTTTTTAGATTGAACACCTCTTTGCATCCATCTTTAAGATGGATGCTTTACACTTTTTGGACTGCATATGTAGTCATGCGGTCCAACGTGCTTGAATATATATAGAGGAAAAGTCTTCCCAACGCCCACTGTCAAAAGTTCATCGCACAGACACTATTGTCTAGTAGTATTTTATTTTTTATTTTTATTTTTTATAAATCGAAATGACCTGAAATTTGAAGCGTATGTACATCTTATTGAGGCTCACCTAATAAAAATATAAAAAAATAATTCGTGAAAACTAAATTGATTAAAATACCCCTAAAACTATTCGGGGGTATTTTGGTCAATTATTTTCATGTAAAATATTTTATTGATATTTTTTTATAGATCCACCTATTTTTTATGAACATAAGCTCCAAATTTTAGGCTATTTCGTTTTGTAAAAAAAAAATGAAAAATGAAACACTATCGGACAATAGTGACCGTACGATGAACTTTGGACGGTGATGAGAGAAGGCGAAATCACTGTTCATTTTTGCCTATAGGTGTTTTATAATATCTTATTTGTGGGGTGTAAATTATTACAAATCTTATGCAGGACAAAAAGAAAATGACTAATAGAAGATTGATTTATTGTATTTATGGTGGACAACTCCAATCAAATATCGATGGGACTTTGGATTATATTGGTAGTGATGCATGTACATTTATGATTGAAAGTAGAACTAGATTAGATGACCTGCGAAAATACGTAGCAGAGCGTTTCTCGCTAGACATACACTTGATATCATTGAGGTATTTTGTCTTGAAAAAGAGAAGATTTATTGTGAATCTATTCATTGACGATGATATTGAGAGGATGTTGAATGCACATGAAGGCGAGAATAATGTCTTGGTTTATATATTTGATGGGAGTGAACAAAGGGTTGGAAGTACTTCATGTAACCCAAGGGCAATCGAAGAGGCCAGAACCCCCCAATCCTCTAATGTTTTGGTCTCTAGTTCCGAATAAAACAATGCACCAATGTCGCTTAGTTCATGGGGGTATAGGCCAAGAATTTGAATCTCTAGATGAGTTCCGAGAAGCCCTTAGCAAGTTTGCTATAGCACACCATTTTACTTATCATCTTGTTAAAAGGAGATGTATCGCATAAGGGCGAAATGCAAGAGTGATGGATGCAAATGGGAGATATATGCTTCGAAGTTTGGCAGGACGAATGTCTTTAACATCAAAACATGGAAAAAAGAACACTCATGTAATATTGGGACAAACAATGATGTACAGAGAAAAGCATCACAAAAATTTATTGCTTCATTAATCAAGGATAAATTAAGCGACACTGCGCAGTACAAGGCTAAAGAAATCATGAATGATTTGTCTAAAGATTATGGGCTAAAAATATCCTATTGCAAGGCTTAGCGAGAGAAAGAAACGGCCATCAAAGACATATATGGTTCACAAGATGAGGCATACAACTCGTTACGCACATATGTAAACTGAGTAATGGAGACGAATCCTGGTAGTTATACGACATGACAA